TATAGCAAGGCGTTTTTAGCCGAAAAAAACGACCATGTATAGCAAGGCGTTTTTAGCCGAAAAAAACGACCATGTATAGTAAGTCGGTTTTAGCCGAAAAAAGCGACCATGTATAGTCAGGCGTTTTTAGCGCAAAAAACGACCATGCATAGTAAGGCGTTTTTAGCCGAAAAAAGCGACCATGTATCGTAAGGCGTTTTTAGCGCAAAAAAACGACCATGTATAGTAAGGCGTTTTTTGCAGAAAAAAAACGACCATGTATAGTAAGGCATTTTTAGCGCAAAAAACGAAAATGTATCGTAAGGCGTTTTTGGACGAAATTTTTAGCCGAAAAAAACGACCGTGTATAGTAAGGCGTTTTTAGCGCAAAAAAACGACCATGTATAGCATGGGTGTCAAACTCATTTCACATTGTGAGCCACATCAGGCCTCGGTAGACGTCAAGTGGGCCGGACCATTAAAAATTATACCATACTCTGCTATAAATAACCAAAATAATATGTCTTTCCTTTGTTTTGGTCTGAAGATGCACAAGAACACTAGGAAAATGTTGAAATTTAATGAACATATCTTGTACAAAACATTTCATGAAGCACCTAAGATTTCCTTAGACAAATGTGCAATTTACTTTTATCAGTCACATACAGTCAAACCTCGGTTTTCGAACGTCTCGGTTCTCAACCAATGCGGTTTTCGAACGTCTCGGTTCTCAACCAATGCGGTTTTCAACCAAAAATTTTGAGATTTTTATGCCTCGGATGACGAACAAATTTCGGTTCTCGAATAAACTGAGCGCACTTGAATGCACCATTTGACTCCTCTTGCCTTCCTTACACGAGGAAGTGACGCTTCCTCGGGTAGACGAGGAAGTGACGCTTCCTTGTGTTGCTTTCCATTGTGAGCAGACGTGTTCAATAAACATTATTTTAAAAATAGCCTGTTTTCGGTTTTCGAACAATTTCGGTTTTCGAACAGCCTTCTGGAACAGATTATGGATGAAAACCGAGGTTTGACTGTATATTATGATATGAGCCATATTACTCTGCCCTCAGTCTCCATTTAAAACAAGGTAGCCTATGACAAAAGTGTGAAAAACTATTTCCATACGAAATTACATTTATGAACAGTGACCATGTAAGTTAGTGTCATAGAGTCGTAATTGTAAAAGTTGCTATGCATTGTCAATATCGCGCTGAATCTTTATTTTTTTATTTATTTTTATGGGGGGCGGGTGTGACGGCGGTGATTCGCAATTCAATCTTTTCCTGAAATCATTTAGCCCTGTTGCGTACTTTTGCTAATTAACGGATAGTCTGTGAAGCCATTAGCTATCTAACGGAAATCCATTTTATGATCCAGATGTGGGAGAAGGCTATTGAACTCGGCAAGGAGCTGGCAGCGGATATTCCATGAATTGCACGTTCTTAAAAATATTCATTCCATGTCTTTTATGCATTTTTTTCACTTTTAAATTATCCTGCGAGCCTGATCAAACCTCCTTGCGGGCCGGTTCCGGCCCGTGGGCCGTATGTTTGACACCCCTGTTCTTGCCGATCGTGAATAAAGTGCAAATAAAACACCCATTACGCACACTACCAAAACGTGCAAGCCAACTTTATTCATTGTTTCGAGATGCTTTGTTGATCAGGGCAACTCCGCTGGAATAGTTGAGACGCAAGTCTCGTCTGGATGCTTGCGGGGTGCTCTCTGCTGGTCCCAACGGGGCCGGGGGCTGAAGAACCTGCAAAACCCAAAGGATCGCGGTGAAATCAAACTTTGTTTCAGATTGGGGAGGAAACATCGGATGACTTTCTGAGGGCCCCGATAACTTTTCCCCCTCAAAGTATGCACTGTATATCAATCAACATGTCAGAAACATTTCGGTCTCAAACTCCAGCAGAGGGCCCGCCACTGGCAAGGGGAAACAATAAACCTGATTTCGCTTTCCAATGTCAGCTAACAGCAGTAAGAATCATTGTAAAATTCGACCGCAAACTCGCAATAGGCTCGTGCCCGTCGTCGACGGTGTTGACAAGGTCTTTACGAAACGTAAAGACCTTGTCACAAAAAGGGCGCCGTCTACTGGTGACCAATAGGAATGACAAACCTTAGACTGAAGTGGCTCTCAATTTTACAAGTACAGTCCCACCGAAAAAATACAAATCTCTGGGTACCTTTATCAGGTGCTGTCTCACCGTGTTGGTCTTTGTCGTTGTGTTTATGATCCTCTGGACCACTTGGAACTGGGAAAGTCAATTCCTTAGTCTGTCTGTGGCTGCGCAGACGCGACGGAGCATGTGCTCAGCGTGCACTCCGTGCAGTCCCTACCAAGCCTCTCGCCCCTCCCCTTCATCTTCTGGTTTTCCTCACTGAGCACGGCAGCTGAGCCACTGCCAAACCTCGCTTCAGACACGTGAAAAAGAGAGAGTGACATTGAGGGGGGCGGGGGGAGGGAAGGAAAATGACAGAGCCGGCTCTCATCGTTCACTTCAAAGAGCCGGCTCTTTGTACCGGCTCGTTCGCGACCGACACATCACGGACTCAAAGTCTTTCACAAGAGCAAAGACACCAAAGCACAAGTAAAAGAAGTTCCAAACCAAACATTTTGAGACATTTAAAAGTCAAGGAATAAAGAGTTGCTGACGAGAATTACAACATGAATTTACATTGACAACACATTTATGAGCAAAGGACTAAGACATTTAAAAGCAAAGGGAAGAAATAAAGTTGCTACACAGACAGTCTTTTTTTAAATATACACAATACATACACGGAAATGGACATAATATAATAAAATATACAGTATATACATATAACGTGATGTTTACAGGTGGTTGGGACTAATTACATTCAAGTAGAATGACACTTTGCGATATGTTGTATGTAGTTGTGATGTTCATTGAGGAAGGGAGAAATCTGGAACATACCACCATGACAACACAGCGTCCTCAGGTGACCTTTTTATTTCACTCTTCTCCGGAGGGAAACAACGTGCACTACACAAAAGATATACACAGCGCACTCAAAATTATCGACAACTCTTCACTCGGCCCCGCACAGACACACAGAATCAAAGTGCCAACTTTTCAAATACATGATGAGATTTGCTCCACGTGGAGAATCTGAAAGCTATGGCTCAGATTGAAACATTGAAGCCCCCAAAGGGCAACGCAGAAGCTCAAGAAAAAAAGCAAATAGCAAAGGTAAGGGCCATTTCGTCTTCTATGGTTGTCATCACATTTTTTTCCTCGGTGATGTCGACACTGACAAAGTGTCCAGTCGGTTTCATGTCACGTTTTTACGGTTGTCGCCTTGTGCTTGTTTTCAGCGCTTTTTGTACTTCGGAATCCAAATCATAACACAACATGTGGACCCGAGCTCAACTGTTGTGCTGATCATAAAGGTCATAAACTTGTTGTGTGCTCTTTAAGGCAGACGTCAAGTGGCAGTCGCAGGGTGGGGGGAGCAGGGGGGGGCATGTTATCTCCGTCCACCACCTCCCCCTCACACCCACCCGCTTCATCAAACCTTGGGGGACCCGTCTTGGCGGTCGGGCGTCGGTACCGGCGGGGTCGCCCTCTTCCTCCTCCTCCTCCTCATGGTCCTCCTGGCCCCTTCCTCCTCTTCTTTACCCTCCTCTTCATCGCCGTCGTCTTCTTCATCTGCGTCGCGGGCGCACGCCGGCGACAGCTTGTGGCGCAGCTCGGGAACCGCGAGGCTGATCTCGGCGCTCAAAGACTCGGGGCCTGCAAGACGCACATGATAATTGTCACGTTTTGACACAACTTTATGATATGTGATAACTCTCCCGTTGACGTGATACGTTTCACGTTAGCTGTGATCACCACGTTTTGACTTTTTGGAACGAGAAACTTATGTTAACGTATGAATACACTCGGCAAAGCGAATCGAAGCAATCCCGTTTGAAGTCGGAGTCCTTTTTGTTTCAGCCTTTTATACCACAGTAACTAGCTATGTAATTCTGCTGCTCTTCTTGAATACCATCTTAAAAAAAAAAACGACACATTTTCATAACTGCAGTATGACTTGAAACGTGCCAGCTACTCAAGTCATTGCCAGCGTGCAAAGAAGAAGCCAAGGAGGCACCTGCGACCGGCGAGGCAGCGCTGTTGTCCTCTCCGCCCGAGTGCAGGAAGACGTCGAGCGCCTCATGGTCCGACATGTCCATCAGGTCCATCTGCTCCAGCATGTCTACGTTGACCTCCATGGACGACATGCTGCCTATTGGCCCTGCGACCCGCCCCCCCACCGCAACAATGTCATCAAGAAGAAGAAGGCAGCAAGCGGCTGTCATGACACTGGAGTGCAAGCGGGCGTCCAGCAGGGGGCGGAAAGCGGCTGAGTCCAGGCAAAGCAAAGCAAAGCAAGGTTGGAGGACCTTTAGCTTTAGCAACATTAGCACAACAATGAATGCCAAGGAATCGATGCAAGCGACTTGTGCAACGACAGCATTCGTACAACAAGTTTTATTTATTTTGGAATGATTTTGAAAGCGGACGAGGATGATGGTGACAAAGTATGGTTTTGATCTAGGGTTAGAGTATCAAACCATGATGCCTTGAATTTATTTTGTGAGCGCACTTATAACTTGTTGCGGAATGTCCGAAGCTCACTTGGCGGTCCAATTTTGGCTTTGGCCACAAAGTCAAAACTGTCCGAGTGACAGCTGTGGACAAAGTGGACAAACTTTCGAATTTGTGGCACTCGTTGGTCAAGGTAGCACAGGTGTTGTGGGTGGGGGTGTTGTTCGGGGTTTACACAGGTAGAGGAGATGATTGGCCTGTGCAGACAGTGAGAGATGTCATTGGCTACCGTACCTCGAGGGATTCGGGAGGGCGGAGCAAGGGCCGCGTAGGTCGACAGCACAAGAAAGAAGAAGAACACCATGGGATGAGGGGTCGGGGGTGGGCACTATGTGATTGCACTCCCACGCCCTCCCTCACAGCTTCACTGGGCTAACTCCATTGTTGCCCTTTTGGAGTTAAGAACAGAAGGAGATGAGGCGCCGCTTGTAATTTCGAGATATCGCTCAGCACTCTTCCCCATTCCTCAGGTGCAACACAAAATCAGCCGACTGCCCACAAAGTCACTTTCAACACTCACTCAGTCAGTCCAGCTTGAGTGAGCGCGTGTCTCCGTGTGAGTCGAAGTCATCTATCATGAGTTCCTGACAGACTGGACAGCTGTTTGGACTTGGACTGCTTTTCAACTTGTTTTTTTCGAACTGCGTGGTATCTATCAGACCACATGAAACGGCTGCTTGGACTTGGCCCACTGTTGCGCTCACCCTCGAACGGCATGCCGGTGCAAGGGAAGGTTGTCTTTACAGCTGCTTGGAACACTATTGCACTCACCCGTAATGGCATGCCGGTACAAGAGAATGTTGTCCTAACAGCTGTTTGGACTTGGACCACTATTGCGCTCACTCCCTAACGGCATGCTGGTGCAAGGGAATGTTTTCTTCTTTCATGAAATACTGATAGATTTGACATTGAATTATACTGTTGCACAACACTTTTTCACATTGCGCAAGTGAAAGTAATGGATCACATTTCATGAAATTTTGCTCGATTTGATGGATGTGGACATTGCTTTCCCAATCCCGGTTTCTTTTATTTTCAGGCAACCTGAGCAGGAAGACGATAAGAGTACCTCAACTGTGGGTCGTATCAAATATGCTGCAAGTCCAACTTGGCGAAAATCTGAGGAAAACCATCACTTTGATGAAAATAAGCAGCCGAAAGAACGGCATGCCCTACATTTGACTTCATTTAGGTGTCTACAACATCTTCCATGCACCAATAATGATAACCTGTAACCTGATAACATGATAAGCTGTCCACTGTAGTGACCGCCGTCCCCGAAAGGGTTCGATGGCTGAGGGTCAAAAATGGAGTCAGCCCGCTGTAATTGTCGGTGACTGAAAACCCCCAAGAGTGGATACGAGCGGTGTCTCACCTCGCCTCTCGGCGATCTGGAGGTAACCGGTGGACAGGTACTGCTCCACGTCCTGCTGGAAGGCTTCCTCCAGCAGCAGCTTGTGTCTGTCCTTCAGCTTCAGCTGCCCGCCGCCGCCGCTGGAGGAGGAGTCGGCGGCCGACGCCTTCGGTACGTGGTCGCAATCCACTTCCACTGCAAAAGCAACAAAGTTTTGGAGCGCATGCAAACAAAAGGTTACGTGATGGATTCTGGTTGGTGTGTGTGGAGGGTTTTTTTGTTTTTTAATTGCCAACAAAGGGCTTTAACAGACTTATTGTTTTGTTGTTTTTCGGATGTGATTCAACATTGTTTTTGTTTAAATTTTGGGGGGTTCTTTTCTTTGATCTTTCTTTTTTATCTACTTGATTTTAGCTACAGTATTTTTGAAAATGTAATTATTTTCCCTGGATGTTACTTGTTTTTGTTTTTCATGTTTTCATTGTTGTACTTTTCTATTTTTTTTGTTCATTTAACATTTTTTTATTCTATTTCTTATTGCATGATTTTTAGATTTTCAAATTTGTGTTCACTTAAAATGTTATAAAAATTTTTAACGTTATTTTTATTTATTGTTACGTTAATTTTATTACGCATTTTTATTTTGTGCTTATTTTCATGTATTTTGTTGATCAGATGTGACTCAAGCTTTTTATTATTGTTATACCGTATATTATTATTATATTTGATTTTGTTTGTTTAATTAGTTGTCATTTTTTTCTTCAGATTTCTTTTTAATGTTTGTGATTGTTTGCTTCAGTGTGAAACGGTTTAATTTGTTAAATTTGTTGCATCTTTTTTTTGGTGTGATACAAGATTTAGTTGTTTATTTTATGTTGTAGTGTTTTAGTTTAATTTTTCTTGAGGGTTTATTTTTCTTTCTGAATTGCTTATTTTTGTTCATTTAATTTTTGATCTGTGTATTATTAGTCATCCGGGTTTTTTTTTGCTGTTACTCAACATTTTTGTGCTTTTTTTTTTGTTTTGAGTCGACTTTGAAAATGACACTTTTAAAAAGTCAGACGTGACATCCAGCCCCCTCCCAAAAAAAGAAAAATCTGGCCAAAATCGATTGGATTCTCTTTCAAAGCGCAGCGAGCCAACGTCACTCTGGTCCCAAGTGCACTTTGACTCCCCTCGCTTCGCTTTTTTGGCTCCATCTGATTGTGTGCAAAAGCGCTCACCCGACATCTGCGAAGCACTATAAAGAAAAGACCCCGCAGGCTAAATATGAGCAAAGGGCTAAAAATAGACGGCCCCACAGCGACGAGAAGAGCGGCGGGCGGCGCAGGATGTGGATGAGCTGACGACAATGGGGAGGAGGAGGAAGAAAGTGTGAAGAGGAATTAGAAAGCGCACGTTTGTGGCATATGCCTTCATCGAGCGAGTGCCCAAATGAGAAGAAGCTCATCAGGAACCACCTTTTTTTTTTTTTTTTTTAAATCCTTAGGATGACTCAACCACACACGCACGCAAATACACTCGTGCACATGCACAGTGTTGAACCTGCGAAAGTGTCATACCGCTCACATTGCCCGGAGGATGAACAGACTTCATACTGAGCGATTTGATCCGCCCTCCAGTTTCTTGCAGCGTCTCACTTGCCAAGGGGGGGAAGCAGGTGGCCACAAAGAGGGGAAGTGGGTGGCTGAGGGTTAGGCTGCAATTTGGCGACAGAGACGGCGGCAAGCTTTGCTATTTTACGAACAGCTATGAGAAATAATAAATGTTGTTAGGTGTTGTTGTAAAACACACTCAATTTATATTGTGTCCACCGTACCGTTATTTGTATGGCTTGGCGGCAGCAATGATGATGCTTTGATTAGAAAAAAAAATACATTGGTAAAGTACTATTTACTCAGTACTTGAGTATTTTTTCACGGAATACTTACTCAAGCAATTATTTCTTTTAAAGTAACAGTACTTCTACTTGAGTAGTCTTTGTGGCTACTCAATCTGCTTCTGCTACCCCGACAGATATTGTTAATAACTTTATTTCTCTCCCATTTCCTTTATTTGTATTTTATTGGCAAGGGACAATCGGCTTCATCCTTGACAATCGCACCATGCTTTTATGGTTTGCAAAAAAAGAAATTCTATTGCAGCTCATTGGCTATGGTGTAAGAGTTGATCAGCTGATGTGTGTGTATTTTAGTGATTGATTTATTTCTTGCGATTGTTCAGTTCAGATGTGTCTTGTCAGTGTGGGGCAGGCCTAAGATGAATTCTAAAACAAGAGGTTTTTTCATATAACTGTGCCGGACGTATGGGTGACATTTGTGTGTGTGGGAGAGATTGTGCGGCAGTGTACCTGCGTTTGAAAACACCTACCTGCGACAGGATCAACAAAATGACAAACACAGCAGCATGCCTTCAATCTGTCACTTCCTGTGTGATTGTCCTCGCAGGCGCAAATACACACATCCCATCTGCTATTTGTCGCCATAGAGACAACGTGCCGGGGGGGTTGGATTAGGTTGTTGGAGATGAAGTGTTGTCAGACTGCAGAAGCCACCAAGCGCCATTTAGGCCCTTAAGTGTCCTACTGCAGCTTTACAGACACGATAGACTCATTGGAGGGAGTAGGAACATGGATGCAAGTGCTAGCTTGGAGGCATAGGCAATTGCTTGGGGGCCCCCATATTTCCAAACGGATAAAGTTTCCTCCATTTTTTTATGAGTCTTAGTTCATATGCTTATAAGCGCATCAAAATGGCTTCATCTAGCTTGAATGTGTCAAGCGCCCCCTCCCCCCTTCTCACAAAATGGACTATTCCATCTTACTGCGCCAATGCAGACTTGATTCAGGATGGTACAATAGTACCAACTGGGTTTTATCCCAGGGGAGGGTTGAAGAGTTCCAAGGCCAGCGCAGAAACATTTTTAGCAAAACGAGAAGAATGTCAAACTGTTTGACGGTGACACCAAATGGGCACCGCCAACAGCAGCAAAGAGTCAGACACTTTTGCGATCCGAAAACTGCTGTCAGTGTCGGCTGACAACACTGCAGACAAACAAAAACGTTGAAACAAAAATCTGATTTAACGACATTTGTAATAATAGTAATGGGACATTTCAATTTGGGTCATGGGTGAAATTAAAGACTTGGGTTTGTCATCGTGGTTTTGGTTTGGGTTAGAGTCAGCTTTAGGTCGAGTTTGGCGTTAGGTTTAGGTTGCTGTTAGGGCTGGGCCAAACAACTTTATCCTATCAAAAATCGAGATATGAACATTTAAGACAATCATTCATTCATTCATTTTCTGATCCGCTTAACCTCACAAGAAATCCACTTCCGTCTTCGCTGGTAAACATAGATTGTCTTTCAGAACATTACTTAACCATATTTATCATTTCAAAATTAGGAGTGGATAAAAAAAAGCAGAGCTTGTTGCCCGCCACCATCTTTCTGTGAAATAATTGAAACGCTTCAATTATTTCACAGATTAACGTCATTAACGCTAATGACGAATCATGGCCGGCGGGGATTAAAGCCTACCAGATACCAGATACAGGCGCTCCCCGCTTTACGAACTTTCGTGTTGCGAACAACGGCACATACGAACATTTTTGCGGGTACAGGTATGTCGAAAAATGTTCTCGGACAGAGATGCTGTCAGTCAGATTTTGTATTGCGCGCCTTTTTCCGAATACTGTAGTACTTCTTTCCACCGCTAATACCGACGTGAGGCGCTGTGAGAGGAGGAGGAGGAGGAGGAAACGCTCGTCCCCATGAAGAAGTTCGAGACGGAACTCTCTCCCCCTCCATCATCTCCTTAAGCCTTCGAGTACATCTTCCAAAAGTATGTTAAACTTCATTTTATTACATTTATATAAGCCTTAAACATACTTATATAAGCCTTAAACATACATTCCATACAAAATATAGCACTGAAGCAACTTACGTACGAATTCAGCCAGCGAACGATCCTTCGGAACGTATCTCGTTCGTTACCTGGGGAGCGTCTGTATACGGAAAGCTGCATGAATGAACAGATGAATGTGATCCATGTAAAAAAATCGCCATTGCACATCGTCACCGCTGCCAAAGTTAAAGTGGGTCAAAGCCTTCGAAAGGAAAGCCCGGCATTCGTTTCATTTCACGGCGGTCACCGTCTTAGCGTTAATTAGCTTAGCGCGGCACTCACTGACGTGACCGAGCGAGCGTTTTATCAGAGCGTCCCGCTCCCCGCATGTCATTTCACACGCTCTCTGTTTTGTTAAGAACAGCGCGATGAACTAAAAATAAAACACGACTGGGATGACTTCTAAGTGGCAGCCTACCAGGATCCAAAACCAGACCCTCTTATCAAGCATTTTTATCTGATTTATGCTAGCATCATTAGCTCTCGGGACACATGGGACCATATGATAACGGAGCACAAGAGCCGTTAGCAGCGTGCTAATTACCTTCTCGTTAAAGGAGGTCACATTTTGACTCATTTTTTTTTAATTCAATTTGAGTCTCGAGTTCGAGTGGACGGCACCGAGTCAGTCGGGCAATTTTCTGTATTCGGAGGTAGCTAGCTCCACCAAAAACATTGAAGTGAACGAACATTTTGTTCACCCTTTCCAGCCCCCCAAAAAGTTGCAAAAATAGCAGTGTGCAATATTGTATGAAAACTGAGGAAGATGGTCACAACTGCTGAGTAAGCCACAGTAACATTAGTTATTCTTCGCAGAGGATAAGGAATATGTAGGTCGGGTCACTCGCATCTCAATACACGACTGTGTTTGAAACATCCTGATGTTTAGCATCAAGGCTTTTGCATTGCTCACACCGTCCAATTTCTTTCGCTCTCTCTCACCCACAAAGAATGAGCGGGACAACTTTCATCTGTTTGTTTTCACGGCTGTCGGCTGATCACATCATTACACATCGACCCCGGCGAGGCCAAGCGAGGGATTGCGGGTAAATAAATGAAGTCCACGGCGGTGGGAGGAGGAAGGGGGGTGAACGCCTGGAGGATGAGTGGGAAAAAGAGGGCAGGGAGAGGGGGGATGCTGGTAATAATGGAAGCCATAAAAGGGCCGTTGCATCAAGCCGACCACTCCCGTCCTCCCCCTCCACACTCATGCTGATCGTGTGCTGTGTGTGTGTATGATGAGTCAAAATGAGTCACATCATGTTATCAATCACCCACTTTTCAGCACACAACTTTTGTGTGTGTGTGTGTGTGTGGTGCTGAAGGCCACAATGAAGCAGCAGCAGCAGCAGCAGCAGCCTCCCTCCCACGCACACACTCTCAATTGCCATTACATTTTTCCAGCACCAACAAATCGGAGCCCTCATCATTGTACACGCACGCGCGCACAAATGAAGTTCTCGTAACGACAAGGCTCCACTGCAATCCACTGTATTTTATCGACTCGCTTCAGCGCCCGAAAAGAAATGCAAATGACTTCCTGTTTGGAAGGCCCCGACAAGACGTGCGATTGGTCCAAAAATTAGAAGGGGCCTGGAAAGGTGAATTCAAAGGTTTGAATGGAAATACATTCAACACATTGGAAGAAAATTGCCGAAAACACATGCAGACTGAGAGCCGGGTCAATTTGGTGAGCTATTGGCGTTTTCATCTCGTTTGCCTGATTTTTTTTTGGGGGGGGGG